CACAAGTCTTAAAGTTGCCAAGGTTGGAGACCCCTGCTATATAAGGTCCATGTGCCAATTTATTCCCTCTTGATCTCTGAATTGTCCTCCTTTGTCACTGGTACTTATTTTACAGAGTTCTGCCAGAGAGTATGGAGATAAGCCATTACAATTAATTTTAATACTTAGAAAAAAATTATAATATACTTGGAATGCGATTCTATGTGGTTGTGCAGCATTCCAGGCAGCACTGAATTACTTTGACTCCTCTCTATAGAGTTGGAGATGGAGCGCCAATCTCAGAGAGGAAGATCTAATGCCAGATGGTCTTCCCATCTCCCTGTAGTTCCCATGTCTGGTGCTTTTGAAGGGAATTCCTGACTTGGAAAACTCTCAAGGAAAAGTGCTGCCTGATCGGCAGAAGGGAATGAGGTTCTTCAACGGTCCATCATGTCTCTGATCTAGTGGAAAGTTCCAATCATCCATTGGGCAGATTGCAACCATTTTCTTTATGTTGCTTGCAACTGGAGAAATCCCAGGAGAGGATGGACAAATAAACATTGCTTTATTTCCCCATCCAGAGCGCCAGGTGTGCCAGAGTCATCCCAAACTGGAACACTTCAAATTTATTTCCAAGTATTTTAATGTACAATATTTCTTATGGAGACAAACTACAGTATATTACCTTTCCAGGGCAGATTTTGCATTGCTTATGGGAAGGTCTGGGGATCATATTTCTTGTGTAACATTGCATGCACAAGAATGCCACATCAAAGCCTTTTAACTGAAGCTTGGTCTTCTAACACTCACTGTTTTCTAGGCAGTGGGCTACTGTGGTTGAAACGCAGCTTCTCAACAATGGCCAGGTCTGCATGTTGATCTTCAGTGCGGGGACTGATCTGTGGATCCTCCATGAGGAATTTATAGATAAGCTGCAATTTGCATTCCTGGGAGAAAAGAGAACAAAGAAATCCTCTGAGTGAAAAGAATGAAATTATGCTCAAGAGAGCCTCTGGCAACTGAAACAAGGTTTGAGCCCTGGGTGTTCTCTCAGGACTTGCACTGATAGAAAATTAATTATCTATTCTCACCTTGCATGAACTCTCAGGATTACGTTAACTTTACATCAACCATTTATTCAGAGCCATCAGAATAAATTAGATTAAACTAGGATTCAAGTGTCAACACTGCTAATATTGAATATTCTTGCTTTGACAATATATGCAGGACTGTCTGGTATTTTTAGAGTTAAATCAGGTGACAGGGAAAGGGGAGGAGAATATAAGGAAAGCCCAGGAAAAAGAAACAGAAGTGAATCTTTGCCCTCCAAGTTAATTGGAAGATGTGAATCATGACCCCAAAATAGGGGAGGGGAAATGCCTGGAATGTTATGAGCAAAGGAAGGGAAATTCAGATCTTAGCATCCACCATGTTGTGCTGACACTCTGTAATACTAATAAAAGCTTTTTAGGTTTATAAAAAATGCCTGAAAGTTCTTTGAAGTGTTTCGTTAATCAGACACATGACATCAAGTTTAATTGGGATAGTATCCCAGGGCATGTTGATTCCCTTCTACAAAGGGAAGTATCTGAATCTGAGATTTCTCTTGGGATTCCCTGCTACATAGTTGTTTTTGAACCAGCTCCCAACGAGGAATCTGGAACATGAGCCATTTGGGAAGAACTGAGGACCAGCCCAATTCCAAAGCCCTTTGTAAAGCCACCCAATGTAGACCACTTGGAGAGCAGGTAGCAATTTAGGGTAAACGTAGACCACTTGGAGAGCAGGTAGCAATTTATTTTACCCTATGACAAGACAAGCAAATCATGTTTGAGAGGACTTTTTCTCAAAAGGACATAAGTGGGGCAAACATTGCACATTCCTACTTCTGCTCCGATAACAACAGGCTGTTTGAATCTATCAGAGCACCCCAACCCCATTTAGAACTATCCTGCCAGGGATTTTTATCTTGGATGCTGTTCACTGCTGCAAAGCTGCCTAGCATTCACCAGATTGACAGCTGTTCCTCAGGAAATAAACATTTCTGCCCTGAGAAGAAATGCTTAATTCAGCAGGTAGTAAAATAATAATAATAATAATAATAATAATAATAATAATAATAATAATAATAATAATAATAATAATAATAATAATAATAATA